TTTTATTTGAGAACAGTTTTTTTTACTTTATTTTTTAATTAATTGTCTCCAATTTTTGTAGAATACTTAGAGGTTGCTTAATGGAAGAAATATTTTATGCAAGTGTATTGTTGGAAAAGATAATTGATTCATATGGACTATTTAAGATAAGTATGTAGTTACTATTTTTAGCATCATTCTTATTATTATCTGTAATCAACGCATTGCTATTTGAAATTTTTTGACATTGGGTCTGGTTAATATTTTTGTTGTTATTTTGAGAAGATTGAATCTTCATTTTATTTTTTTTATTTTACAATGTGGTCTGCTTGGTTAATCTTTACCTTTTCAATTTGTAAATTTCTTAAGATATTTATTATTTCTTGTTCAGCAATGTGATTTAGGGTGTGAGAGGTATGTAATAAACTGAGCTATGTTTTCTTATTATGGGCAAAGATATGATGCTTAGTTGATACAAAGAAAAAAAATCAATTGTGTTTGGAAGCAATGAGGTTACTGGGAAGGTTAGTTGTTTTCTTTCAATGTGTAGAGAGAGAGAGTAGATAACAATAATTATTTCTGTTTCTTGAAATTGGAAAAAACTCCATTCGTCCTGCAAAAAAGGCTTCCGTATATGTAAAATTGTTAACAAGTACTCCATGGATGAAGAACTAAAGTATTGTGGTATCAGAAATTTTGTTTTAGCTAGTCTTGATAAACGATGATGTGATTGGTATTTGTGCTTATGTCCCAATTTATATTCGTGTGATGTTTTATCATGAATACAAATTTATCAGGTATTATGCTTATACTATAGCTTGTAAGCGGTTCGATTGGCAACTGCGATTATTTGCTATCTAATTATCGGAAAATATTGTGAATTTCTCAAAGTTTAAGATTTATAAATATATTAATTTGCAAAGTTTATGATATTGATTGATATATGGGACTATTTTTTACATTATTCATACTACACTTTCTTACTTAATTCATTTTATTTGAGAACAATTATTTTTAACTTTATTTTTTAATTAATTGTCTCTAATGTTTTGTAGAATACTTGAGGTTGCTTAATGGAAGAAATATTTTCTGCAAGTGTGTTGTTGGCAAAGATAATTGATTCATATGGACTACTTAAGGTAAGTATGTAGTTACTATTTTTAACATCATTCTTATTATTATCTGAATTCAACGCATTGCTATTTGAAATTTTCTGACAAGTTTTGCTATTTGAAAATTGAGAAGTTGCCACTTAATTATATATCACACAAAGAATGAAACATGTTAAAAAGTAAAAAAAATTATATGCATATATAGGAAGTAAAAAAACAGCAATCAGTAGTAACACAATGAAATACATTCTTAAAACATAATTAGATAGTTTAATATTCTAAAATAAACTAACTTAAATAATTAATGCCTATTTCCCATTCTGAAAAACTTATGCCTTCTTCTCCTCCTTTATAACTTTCCGTAACTTGTTACTGGGTAGTTTGACATTTAATCCCTCATCATTTGAATGTGTTGGTCGAACTCCAACATGTTTGCCACTATTGGGATATAACTTTCCAGTCAAATCAATCACATCTTCATTTTGTGAAGAAGCAAAATCTGAAATGCTATTCTTGATAGGTGTCTGAAAATAATTTAAATACATACATAATTTAGTAATTTATGTGTGTTGAATAGTTAAACACGTAATGTAAAATAACAAACTATGTTTTAAAATCTGAAAAGTTTAAAAAACGAAATATAGATTGAATTAAATTATATACCTCAATTAGTTTATCTTCATCATAGCTCTGTCCACAATCAAGGGTTGCCTCTTGTTTAAAAAATTATAGTTAATTTATTTATATGACAATTAGAGTTAAATTTTAATAATATAGACACTTGCATTCAAATTGTGTATAAGAGAAGGATGGCAATATTCCTTTAGTAATGCTTCATCATCAATGAACTTTACTACTCTGTAAACATTATCATTCTTGTTAATGTTTGAATCCTTAATCTGGACTTTAAACATGAGCCTTTTCTCAATCAAAGAATCAAGTTCTATTGGATAACCCATGTTCGCATCTCCTATTAATCCTGCCTTCAACTCATTGACAGTCTTTTCAATTAGTTGTAGAACCTCTTTATTCCACAACAATAATGATATAAATCTAGTTTCATCTGTAACATGAATTTGAAGTCGATACCTAAAGTGTATAAAATACAGTGTTATATAAATTTTAGTTAAATTTTAAAAATCTATCTTGTTTGCTCCAACCTGTGAATAACAGATATAACTTCAACATTGCATTTTACGCAATAATATTTGTCTCCCAAAGGATCAACCTTTGTGATACACTTATTTCAAGCCAAGTATGATCCATCTATGACCAAGTTCCAAACAAACAATCTTTACACCAATTCAATAGCTAGATTCCTGTGAGTTAAATCATAATGTTTAAACAATTATATGTACTATAAAAAAAATATAGATTATAATTAGTAATATAATATATACAACTCACTTCAATGCATTGAAGGAATCTCTAATAAATTTAAAAGAGACCATTCCTATAGACAACTCCTCAGAAATTGAAATATGTTGTTGTGAACTTGTTTGTGAAACCTTCTCATATTCACCTGATGCAATTAACCTGTAAATTTACCATAAAATAGTAATTATGTAATTTGTTAATTTTAATTCATTTGGAGTACTTAATAATACAGATGAGTTGTCAAATTTGTTTTTAAAGTTCGAAGATTGTGGTAGATCAGCATTAATCCATAGTTTGGTCTGATACCAACAACTACGAATAGAATAGATATTTGTAAAATAATTTATAAGATTTATTAAGTTAGATAAATATATTTGTAATAATGATAAACAATAGTTTAACAAAATAAAAACTTTAAAATTCATACCTCTAAATTTGTGTGTCTTCATTAATTGAAGAACAACAATTAATGGTTCATCTGTCGATCCAGATAAATGTGATTGCATTTGAAATGCGAGATCATCCCATAAAGTGGCAGGAAGCTTGTTTCTCCTACGTAAACAATGTTGTGAAAATGATAAATTTAATTATTATTTATCCAACGTAAACAATGTTGTGAAAATGATAAATTTAATTATTATTATTATATAAGATAATATAATAATAATATAATGGTATATACCCTATTAAATGTAAATTGTTTAATAATACTTACTGTTCATCTTCTACAACAATATTCATGAAAGAACTATTGTTGTCTCCTTGCTTTGACAATTGAATTGGTTCATATGAGACAACATGTCCAACAACATCTTAAAAAATTATGGAATTCGTAGTTATAATATTTACAATATAATGAAAAGAATTATATAATAATATTATTATTTACCAATTAGTTGATTCTCGTCGATCTTGTGCTGAATTTCCACTTCTTCAAAAATGCATAGCTTAAAAATATCCATATGAAAAGATGAATCTTCAATTTCAGTCACAATAGTATTCTGAGTGAATATAAGCTTGTGTTTATGAGAATTTGATTTAAATTTCGAGTGATAAGGCATTATCACAAAATATTTCATCCGATATAAACCATGATCATAAATCTTGTCTCTGAAATACTTTATTGTGAACTTATCAATAGATGCATGCATTCGATCACCCTATATGAAAACAAAAATGTTTTATAATCATTAATCATTAATATTAACATTAATATTAATATGTATAATAGAATTAGAGAATAGCATTAAAAACACAAATTTGAATTAAATCATACCATTTCATCTTGCAAAATCAACTTCATAGTCTACGAAATATCAGGCTTGTATTTATCAGGCATTGTCCAAAAATGAACAACGCAAACTTTTAAATTCCAGTTCATTGAGTTATTAGTAATTTCAGATATTGTGTTATATTGTAAAGTCATATTTTGTAATTTGAAAGTTGACAAAAACATGTTTAGTTTGACACAAATAATATCTATATATAGGTACATAGTACATGATTTGAAAAACAGTTTTTCCAAAAGTTAGTGGGAAGTTACAGAACTGCTCTTAATTTAAAGTTGCTCTAAATTTAAAATTCCTTTTGAATTTTTTATTACAGAATTAGAGGTTAATTCAGATGCTGCCAGATATTGCTAACAAAGCTACTTGGAACTGAAGAAGCTAACACGTCATTCTATATTATGCAATGAAACTGTATTAGATTTTAATATTAATACCGCTATAGTGTTGATATTTTTTTACAATTAATTGTTAAAATTGATAAGTTGACAGACAAAATTATATCATGCCAATGATGAAACGTGTTTATATGTATTTTAATTACTTTTATTTTAAATGTTAAATTAGTGTTTAATTGAGAATATGACACGTGTATATTTAAACTTCCTTCAATAATTTTATTTTAGATTTTTGTAAATTCAGAAATTGACACGTTAAATTATATCAAGCAAATGTTGACACATGTTAATATATTTTAATTAATTTTTATTTTAAATGTTAAATTAGTGATTAATTGATCTAGATTTGACACGTGCATATTAAATACTTCCTTTAATAAATTTATTTAAGTTTTTTAAAAATCAGAAGTTGAAATGTCAAATTATATAATGCAAATGCTGACACGTGTTAATATTTGTTATAATAATTTATCATTTTAAATGTTAAAATGAATGAATAATTAGAAGATGACACGTGTATGTTTAATTTTTTTTTGAAAATCTCTAACGTTTTCTGACAGAAATCCGTAAGAATATATTTATGTTAATTGTGGCGCTGACATGTAGGCCATCACCTCTCCTATTATATATAGAAAAAATCTTTTTGGCCAGAATTTAGCCATAATGATATTTTACTTTTTAAAATATTTTTAACCTTTTAATTTTAATACCTTTTAATTAAAAAATGAAAAAAATATTATATTTTTTAAATTTTCTGACCATTTAACACTTGACATATATATATATATATACTAGATAGGCATAGCCCGTACCGGACTTAACATTTCATGTAGTTAATGCTTTGCATATGAAAAACATACAGTTAAAACTGCATAAGCTTATATGATTGGTATAATTGACGCGAGTGGAAATCATATAAGTGAAAGACATACAAATCTTTTAAAAAAAATTATGCACAAGTGGTACAAGCCAAATAGTAGTGTCTTGTTGTGCTTCCCAGCAACTTTTACTACATAGGTCTTCCAAATTCCTCGAGCTTCTTAGCTAGATCAACTCAGACTTCTCTCTCTAGAAAGCTGGTACATCAGTCTTTCTTGTACAATCCAACCATACAACATAACATAGCAAACCAACTTTCACAGTCAATTGTTTATCCCTTCGCTCATTTAATTGTGTGCATGACTTCAGTGAATGTAGATTTGGTGCTTGCAAGAGAACATGTTTTATGTTCTGAATTATACATATCATCACTCATTTAACTTGATAAGAATCCAGTTGAGTAAATTGAAGCAATGATATCACTGCTGATTTTATGCCAACCAAAAAATCCAAATGAATTAAGCCCAGCCTTGCCGTAACCATTTCTCTTGACACTTCTATGCCTTCTACCTCTCTCCATTGTTTACTTGAAAGAGGGAATGATGGAGTGCGAAACTTCATACCTGAACATTTAGAATTAAGAGTGAATTCGCCCTCTCTTTAACTGAACCTTATACATCGTTTTTGAGAAAATTGAAAAATAATTGGATGTATGCAGAAAAAGAAGAAGCAACACAAAATTGGCTATTACAAACAATAAAACAGTAGTGACATTGGATTTTTTTTTAAAAAAACTGAACTTATAGAGCCCTGGGTATGAAGAAAATCCTGTTGGGAGCGCCACCCCCGAATGGGCCCTGCACTGTGCGATCCGAATTTAGTCAGAGCTCTAATGTGGGCGGAAACCAAAAAAAAAAAAACACATATTTGACAAGTAATTTAAGAAGCCAAGCCATTATAAGTGCAAAAAAATTACAAATATGTAAGAATGTTAATGAACACTGCCTTCCACATATGGAAGCAATCAGTTTCCTTCATTTTCTTATTTTAGGTGAATTTTTTAAATCTATCCAGCAAAATTTTCCTAAAAGTAGAGTACCATTCTTGTTATGTATTCTCCTGAACAATGACAAATAAGACAATGCATTCTCTAACTGATTCTCTTCCTTTGTCAAAATGTGTGATATTTTCTTTCTGATAGGTACATTGAGTACATAAGAGCTTAATATCCTTCAAAACAAAGAAACATTCGATTAGATCCTACGTTTCTCAAAAAACATTGAGCATTGAATCACATTTACATGGCATTATAGATTCCAGTAAAAGGAACTACATAAAATTATTTGTTTGGATAAACAGATGCTAAGTTCTTCACACCCTCATCATGGTCATGGACATACATTTTCAAAAAGAAGAGCAGGGGCAACATTTCAAGTACATCTTCTCACTAATCAAATAGACCAGAACATACTTCATCTAGATTTCTCAAAATGATAAAAAGAGAAGCTACCTCTACATGTTGTCACGCATATAATTTGTTTTGATGGTAGCATACCGGTAAAATCAAGTGGTTAAAGAATTCCTACATTACAAAAAATAGTTGAATGATACATTCAAAGGAACAATCATATATAGAATCAAAAGATAGTAGAGCACTTTGCAAGGTTTATAGGAAGTCGGATCTATGATGATCAATATGCAACTCCATCAAGTGCTCATTACCAAAACTGGAGTTTAGTGACTATTCCTCGGGCTTTGTTTTTCACAACTTAAGTTAGTGATTAATACTGCTAAATATTATCCGAATTTCACAACTTATAGCTCAAGATTATAAACATCGAGTTGGCACCATTGCCAAATTAAAATTGCAGTAAACATGCTCGAGAACCTGAAAGCTCCCAAAGATCCATGATATCATATTAGTTCTCCTCAAAATAGCCCAGTTCAACCCTTCATTTTCCCTTTTTAGTTGTAACAATACTCTGTCGTCCTTAAAATAAGCAATTTAATATAAAGACTAACAACAAAACAAACAAAAAAACAAATTTGATTGCAATCAATGCATTTAACATCCTTCCTGAAAAATTGATAATTTCACCTATTAAACTTTTTCTCAAGACAAACCAACCAACTTAAATGGGGAAACAATAAATTGAGGGACTACACCAAGATAGAAAAATATAGCAACTCTAAAAATGTTCAGCAGATGAAGAAACTGATGAAATTTAGAGGCCCACAAAAAGGAAAAAATGATTATTTTTTTTTATGTATGAGAGAGAGAGAGAGATAGAGAAATAAGAATGGGAGTAACTTAAGAAAAACAAAATGGGCATGACCAGAAGCTCCATGCTTGTTAACAGGTGTCAACCATGAAAGAGCGAGCAAAGGACTTAAAATTCTCATGTTACCAGTTCCAATCTGAATTGGGGGATTGGGACAAATGCATCTTCATTCAAAGGGCCAAAGTTTAACATCAAATACAAACTAAGCATTATTCTAACCAATTACCAAGTTCAATAGTACAGCCAACTACCTTCAATTGTCACAAAATCATGCTCTAACCCAGCCCTCAGCTTTACATGTTATTAGTTGCATTAGTGTCTAATATAGATTTAGTACTATTTCAGACTCAGGATTCCTTTTTTTTTTTTAAATTAAACATGTAAGGCTCGAAGGCCTCTTTCAGACGTCAGGATCAACATGACAGAATATTCAGATAAAGAGGGAAATGTAAGGCTTATAAAACAAAATCATAAAAGCAAGACGATATGAAAACTACTATTTTACTAACTGCAATAATCATACTAATAATATGAATCAAGAGATGAATTACAATACCAAAATTTCTTTATTAGACTCTGTAAGAATTAGAGAGTCAAGTGCATCATCAGGTATAACCCCTTCTTTTATCAAAACAACTGAAAATAAGACGACACATTGCTTTACCTGTAAGTTAACAAATTGAGGCGGTCAAAAACACTCAAAATCAGCATAAAAATCCTTTTTACTCTTTAACAACCACTGTAAAATGCCTTTGTACCTGCATCAAGTTATTGTTAAGAACAAAACACGTACACAATCGATAGAGACAGTCAACAAAAGCTACACTAAACAAGATATCAAAAGAGTCCTACATGATAAACCAATAGAGCAAGTCTTGCTTTATTTAACATCGTACTTTCCTTGCAATTATTTTTAAACAACTTGTCATTTGGCTCAACTTTTGCAATGTGTTTCTTCAAGAAAACTCCTAAATAAGACCATGATACCTAACACCCTGCACCCATTGAAAAGAGCACCCAATGTCCATTGGAATAATCCCCCTCCAAAAAAAAGTAGATACCTATAAATTTCATATATTTCAAAATAAGGAGTGTGAAAATGAGGCAATATTTTTCAAACAAAAATACACATGTCCCATAAATATTTTTTTATCAATACTATTCAATAGAATAAATAATGTACATAATGACAGATGAGTATATTGTAAAATAACATCAGTCAAAAGGGAAAAAAAAAACTAAATGTGATATAGTTGTTTCTGGCACAACAACAAACACTTTGTGCATCAAATATCTCAAACAATAAGATTTAAAAAGAGTGTAATTCATACTATTCGAGTTAAATGAATTGTAATCAAGTCGTTAAATGCTGGCAAGTCATTTATCTTTTCGATATTACTTACTTTTCCCATACCTACAATCTTAGAGCTTCAAATACGTTCAGACAGATTGTTAAGTTGTGTGAAGAATAGAATAGAACACAAATAGTTTGTAGCAATATAATGTTTAAATTTAGGGGGAAAAGAAAATAAAGAGTATAAATTCAAAACATGCATCCACAGAAAAAACTTTGTGAATGTAGAAGAACTAATAGACCTAGCAAAGCTAATGTTTGTTAGCAGGGAAAGAATAGTTGAAAACTCACGGTTGAGAAAAAAGAAGGTTGTAAACACAAGAGACGTCGGTGAACTCCAAAAGAAAGCTCCGCAGCCATGGTGATGAAATTAAGGCAAAGTGAATTCTGAGTAATCAAAGGGAAGACATGTGTTATACTTGTACATGTGTCATGAATAGAGTGAATCATCAGATGGCACCAAAAGGTACTTGCAATGCAACAAATAGTACAAATTTTAATAGCTATGTTCCTACACCCAACTTTCATTTCTAAATAAGGCTAAAAATAAACTAAAATAGGCTAATTACGTTATAAATGTCATTGATTGAACCATAGCAACATATATAAAATAAAGATATTTTATATAATCCCACTTCACTTATAATTACAAACTTAAAGAATTAGGAAATTAAATATATCTGCAATACATATGGTGATGAACTTTTGAGAATGAAACAGTTCAACTTTCTTTAGTGTAAGATTAACCTGCTATGTTTTATAGCAGACTTCAAACACTAAAAGATATAATTACATGGTCGAGAAACCACGAAAGACAAAGCATAAGCACCAAAAAGAGTCCAAATCTAACACTTAAGACTCAAAGCACATGATAACATACACTACTGTGAATAATTTATTTAACTGCTATCATCTTGCACATCTTGCACATCTTGCACATCCATTCTACCTTTTCAATTACAATGAAAAGGCCATCAGATAACTCTTAATTCCCAAAGAGATTATGAGACTCCAACTTTCATAATTAGCAATTCAGCCTTTTAAGGCTCATCCACAATCATCCTTCGCTAGATCATGCTCAACTATGTAATTATGGAGTCCAATGTAAGATCAAGGAGGATTGAAAATCAAGAAATTCAAGTTGGTATTTATAACCGTTAACCATTGTGCTAGTTTCTCTATATAAATGTCATCATGTTGGATGTTCCTAAAATCACAATTATTAATCATCTGTAAGGTATTCTAATAAATCAAAAGACCAAGATATGGAAGAACTCATTATATGTAGCTTTCAAGAAAACAATTTAAATAGGCATAATACATAAATATGCCCTTAAACTTGGCCTCAGCTGATATTTATGCCCTTCAACTTTAGTTGTGCACAAGTAGACACTTAAACTTGTATAAAATTAAACAAATAGACATATACATTCTACTTCTTCAATTATACTTAGTATAGTGAGTCCTCACATTGAAAAGGCTTCTAATGGCAGTCAACAGTGTAGTGAGTTGTCCTATACTTGGTAGATTTTCCTAAAGTAAATGTGTTCAATGCTGAAGACATTAATGTTGAAATCCTCATGCTTAACTCATCAAAAACATGTATTTTCTTAATTGTACTGCACAAGGGCTAAACATCAAACAGGCAGAAAGAGCAATCACAAGCAAGAATATATAACTGAATTGGATATAAAACACAAAAGCAGTAGCAATTAATGTGGGAATCCCAAGTCTCAGCAACTACAAAAATGCATAATGAAGACAATAAAGGTAAACACCAATCGGGCAAAAGAACAATCACGAGCAAGAATATATAAATGAAATGCATATAAAACACAAAATCAGTGATAATTAGTGTGAGAATCCCAAATCTCAGCAACTACAAAATGTATAATGAAAGACAGTAGAATGTAAAATACCAAACAGAATCACAAGCAAGAATATATAACTATACTGCATATAAAACATAAAATCAGAAACAATCACGGACAGGAGCCAGCTTATGGTCAGAACTCATCCAAACCCCCTTTGGCGAAAAAACTATTAGAATGAAAAATTACCTTGAATTTCCCTAGTCAAATATGAAATTTCATCACCAAATCGATGCATCAGCTCGGACTCGAATCACTCTCCTCTGATTTCCTCTCCAAAAATGTAATACCTCCATTTCTAAATCTCTTCTTCTCCTTCTCCGCCAAGAGTGAGAATGAGGAAAATGAAAAATAGAAAAAGAACCAAAGCAAAATTATTGAAACTTAGAGGAGGTAGACACGTGTAGTACAGGTGTTTATTTTCTAGGGAATATGGCTCAAATGGTGCAGTACAATGTTTAATGCTATTGGTACAACATTTTAGAGCTGTGTTTGTACTCGGGTTGTTCGCTTATATATAATATATAATATAATACTAGAAGGGCATGACCCGTGCTAAGCACAGGCCCAACATAATTAGTTTGTTCTTTGTGGATAAATATAATATATAATATAATACTAGAAGGGCATGACCCGTGCTAAGCACAGGCCCAACATAATTAGTTTGTTCTTTGTAAATAAAATGTTGTTGGAAATTATTCAGTTATAAAAGCACAAATTGCAAGGATTACATTAATCGGGTTGTGTGTATGTTCTAATCTAAGGAATGATCTGAAAAATTAAAAACAAAGTCTCAAGCATTAAAGCAACTCAAACAACTTGTACAGGACAAAAAAAAGAAAAGAAAAATGCTCAAGAAGTTGTTCGGAACGTTATGATTTAACAATCTATCGTTCAAATTCTAGTGATGTCACAACTTCTGGAGTATACAATGTGTCACAAATAAAGTAAACTCTTCAACTCTTTGTAAGTATTTTCTTTGCAGTGCCCAGAGAAATGTTATATGTTGTTCCTGCAAATTACTGAAAAGGCCACAGCACCAGAAATAGTGGGGCAAGTTTATGTTAAATGTGTCAACAAAAAAGAGAGGCAAAATATTCATATTAAATAAATATGAAGTAGAAGAAATTAGATTATAAATGAACAAATGCAAACTTGAAAATGCTCTTCCTTATTCCTAAAGAATGAGTATCAAAGGGATTGATCAAGAAAGATCTTCACAATTTCCGTATATTACAAATTTATATCATAAGATCTAGATAGAAGAAAGTAGTTCTTTTATAATTTAAAGTTTCATTGTACTTGTCATACATGTTCTAACTAATCCAAAAGCACATTTGACTACTGTTAATAGAAAGCAAAAAGATGAATGAGAGTTTATCTTTGAACTTATGTTTATATTGACCAAAATAGGTAAAAATAAAAAAGGAAATGAAATTGGATCAACTCTTTGGCTACTCATATTAGAAAGCAATCTTAAGATATCATGGACATATTTTTTCTCTTGTCCTGCTAAAGATTAGAACTTTAGTTTGTACTTCATTATATAAAACTATACTGAACACTTGGGCTAATTTTTCTCATTTCATCTAGTTTACTGATCATCTTGATTACTGGGTACAAAAAAATGAAACATGATCAATAATATATATCATCTTAAGGCCAAGTGAGTAGTAATTTTTTTACATGTAGTTAATGTAGGATCTGAAATATGCCTCAAAATGGCCTGAGCCGAAAGATTTTGCTTTTTTTTTATGGTAGTTGAGAAATTTAAAAATTCATTAGCTTCTAGCTAATGGCACCTAATGACTTGCTCCAAGTAGAACAACTTACATCAATGATAGAAGGGTGATAAACTTGAAATTGCTCTTATGCATACTCCTTAATTATTTAGTAATTTTCTCAGGTAAATGTCATTTGTATTGCTCTTCAATAGCAACCCCTGCATGGTTGGACTCATCTTTCTTCTTCAAATCCTACATACCAAATTAAGGTCCCTGTTATAACTAAGCACTTCAACAAAATGGTAATCAATTAAAGGATTTACAATATGAACTGTAACTTAATAAAGAGACTTAAAAATCAACATTTTTCTTTAATTCATGCATAGAAAAGTTCCTTGCTATAGCAAAAAAAAAAAAATCATTACAAAGAATAATCAAGAGACAACACTTCAAAATAATTGCACCTTAAATATTAAGATTCATTTATGAAAGATCAAAAACACACATCTAATTAAGATACTCCACATCAAATATAGTAGTTGTACACCTCTCTTTTAGTTTGTGAAGGCTGAAATAAAGTTCACAGAATTTCAATTATTTCTAACATCAATGAACCATTCTTTACTAAGAAGTTTGAAAACAACTTTCATCAAATATATTAATGTGTGAAGGAAAGAAGACCTCCACACTTGAAAACACATAGTAGATCATACTATAAGAAAACAGAAACACTCAAATGCTATTAGCTTCCAATAACACGATATAACAAATGGGTTAGAGATGTCACACACTTGCATCGTTCAGTTACAACAAAAAAAAATTGACTTTTGCGCCCACCAAGCTTGGCCTGATGAAAAAACTCTGCATCAATAAGGATATCGATGTATTTTTAACTTCATTCCTTTGAGCTCATCGTCTACTCGTCTTGTTTACACATCATAAATTAAAATGAGAGTTTTCAATATATACTTACATAAATGCATCTCCACACTTGAGTATTTGAATGCTAATTGGTTTCATTAGAAACGAAATAAACTATTTTGCTCTTTATTTTCTCATGCCTTTTTTCCTTAAGTACCTCAGTTGAGAAAATGAGATGCATAAGAGAAGTTGTTAATTTTAAAAAGATATAGAGAAAGTTGCATATTAGCTTATCTAATTCCACATTGGAGGTATAATACTTTTACTGGATAGTCATGCAAACATTACAAGGAAAAGACCAGGACACACTTCAAGCTCCTAAGAAGATTTCTTTTCGAGATGTGAACAGGCAAGGACATGTGTGCACCCGTGCTCACGATGCAGTAAAAGTGGTATATTTCATATGAATCTCATATTACATAAAGCACTCAAGAAATTCTAGAATCAGATAGAAAAGAGAGAACTTGAAATGCAGAAATAAATCGACATGACTTCATATGCTTAGATCTAATTGATAAAAATGTTGATATACAATGGATGAATCAACAACCATATCATCACTTTCATATCCACAAAATATTTCATCACTACTTTGGTGTTCACGTAAAAAATTATGTAATACAATGCAAACAACTACTATATAGGGTGTTTTTGTAAAAGATAAAAGTTTGGTGTAAAATTTTAATTTTCAAAAGATCCCAAATAATGAGATTTGGCCCAAATACTAAAAAAAACTAGTATTTGGGAATTTGGGATATTTGCCAAAAATATTTGTCAAATAATGGCAAATTGTATGGACAAACACCATTTGCCAAATTTTCCCCGAAATATTATTTGGGAAATTTATGGCCAAACGGGCCCTAAGTGTAGAGAGCCTCTTGATGACTACCCAAACTTTCACCTTTTTGGTGAGAGTTCGAATTCTGACTTACCAGTAAACAGAGCATCAACCCTAATCATCAATTGTAACATGCATACTGATAAATCTAACAATTACATCGAGAAAATTTAACAAAATGAAGAAATTGAAGTTAAAAAAAGCCTGAAAAGGCGAAAACTCACCTCTCTGTACCATCAAATTCCAGCACGTTTTCACCTTCAAAGCTGCCATTGTTGTCAATTTCCTTCTGATTTTCCTGTACATGAACTTCTTCCTTCTTCTCCTCTTCACCCTCAACAGACCCATAATTCCAAGATTGTCGTTCATCTCCCTCACCCTCAAACTCCGATTCTGTCTTTTCGATTCCTTCAAAGGGTGTTTCTGTCTTTTCTTTTCAAAACCCACCAAGGGTTTCTCCAGCCTCCTGCTGCTCAGCTGCAGATAACATCCCCCACTCACATCACCGCCGCCTGAGCTCGATTTCTGCAAATTAGAAAGCGTCCCAATTCATTTTGAAGATGCGGGCACTACGAAAATAAAACAATCATAAAAAAGTTAGATCCAAACCTAAAACTAAGTAATTAGCTTGTATTTTCCGTCAAAATCGTGAAACTTCTAGTTCAAACACATGCAAAACTAAAATAGAAAATATATCCAGAGGAACTCAATGAAGGAGCATGAATGAGGCAATTCAGATAGAGGAGATGAATGAGACAATTCAGATAGAGGAGGCAGACGTATAAAGCAAAATTTGGCAAAAATATACAAAGTAAAGGGATTAACCATGACTTTTGATGCCTTTTCCCCTGCTTCATCGAGTGAACCAAGAGAAGACAGACTTGAGAGCAAATTTTGGTTAAGGTGTAGGAGTTGAGTAATTGTAAGACATCTGTTTCAAAGTACCTACACGTGGCTATAAAGTACAATTGTTAAAGCACTTTGGTACAGGCACCTACAGTTGTATTCCTACAACCTCTCATTTTTTTGGCTTATATTTGTTTGGCAAAGAGAAGTGTGCACACGTGTATTCATCAATCAATAAATAAGCCTACATAAAACTACAATCCACACAACATGATGTACAATTACATATTGCAGTGATAGTCCTTTTCTTGTTGGCTTATATATAAGGGTAATATAATATATAATATATAGTAATAATAATAACTAGATATGGGACCCCGTGCCAGTACGGGGCCCAATATATGTTACTGTTTCTGTTTTAATTTATGTGGTACATATGAACTTTGAAGTTAATCAATTTTTTAGTATGTTTTTATATATTTTAAGTTGCTAATTATTTTTATTTAGAGTATGTTTTACGTAAATATATTATAAATCACAATAAATAACAAGTTAATTTAAAAAAAAACTTATAAAAAATTTATTGACTTTTGAAATTTCATTTGTATCACATAAATCAGGACAAAGCGAGTAATATATATGAAAATTACATAAAACGTACTATAACTCGCAATCATTAGCAACTTAAAATATCTATATATCTATATTTCTCCCAATTTATGTGGTATAGATGAAATTTTGAAAGTTAACAAAAACTTTTTATATGTTTTCAAATATTTTAAGCTATTAATTATTATGATTTATAATACTTTTTTCATAAAAATTTTATTTATATAAAGTATAAAAGAAAAAATTTAAAAAAAGGAAACATAAATGTTAGCAGGAGTCCAATCTATGTTAATTTCTATGTTTTAATTATTGTAATACCGATTGAATTTGGAGAGACAACTAAATTTATTTAAAAGTTTTTTTTTATAAATTTTAAGTTGTTAAT